CGCCGTGCGCGTGCAGCGTGCCCGCGGGGAACTGCCGCACGCGGTCCTGCGCCGAGATGTGCTTCGCCTTCTTGGACTTCTTGTCGCTCCCCGCCGCGCCTCCAGCCGCGCCCGAGATGGCGCCCCGCGCCGTCCCCTCAGCCCTGGCGTGGGGCTGCCTGACTGGCTGCCGGCTGCCGCGCATGCGCCATTACGGCGCCCAGCCGGAGCGTGCGCAGCTCGCCCAGCAGCAAGCAGCAGCGCATGCGCCTTGTCTCCTGTCCCCTAGCGGGCCGTGGAAGCGCATGCGCAGCTCTCCCAGTGTCAAGCAGCAACGCATGCGCATTGCGGTCCATTCCCGTCTGGCCACGGAGGCGCATGCACAGTAAGCTGCAGGCAGCGGGTGCGACCATGGCGGGCGGCGGGGGGCTCGGTGCGCTATGGGTGCTGGCCGGTACGGTGCTGCTGGCGGGGACTGGTGCGCATGCGCTCTACTTCCACATCGGGGAGACCGAGAAGCGCTGCTTCATCGAGGAGATTCCGGACGAGACCATGGTGATCGGTGAGGGGGGGGGTCTCGCGGGCGATACCATGGCAACTGGGAGGGCGAAACCAACCAGGGCCTCGCTGGCGTGGGCGCTAGCATGGTAACCGGGTGGGCGGGAAGAGACCGACTCGGCCCTGGGTGGGGGGTGAAAGATCCCAACTGACACTGGGGCCAGGTAACAGACAGGTGGGGGCAGGGGACCGCCGGAAGTGCGGGGGTGGGAGAAACCAACAGGTGGGGCGGTGGATGGAAGAGACTGGGGGGGTGGAAGCGAGGTGGGAGGTCAGGTAGGGGGAGGGGGTCATGGGGGCAGTGAGGGTAGGGCAGGGACGGGACAGCCAGGGGTTGTATAGGGTGGGGGGTTGCTGCCACCCCAGCCTGACCCCCCTCCAACCCCACAGGGAACTACCGCACACAGCTGTGGGACAAGCAGAGTGAGTCCTTCCTGCCCTCCACGCCGGGGCTGGGCATGCACGTGGAGGTGAAGGACCCCGATGGCAAGGTGAGGGGCGGGGCTGGCCTGGACGCCTGGCTGGGGGGGGCTGAGGCACCTGCACTCTGGCCTGGTGGGAAGGGAGACGTGGGCGCCTGGCAGACACCTGGGCTCTGTCCTGGCTTTTGGGGGATGCCTGGGTTCTTTCCCACTGGGAATGGTGACCTGGGAGCCCGGATGCTGGGTTGCATCCCTGCTTGGGATCTCACAGCTTGGTCTCTGCAGGTGGTGTTGTCCCGGCAGTACGGCTCTGAGGGTCGCTTTACCTTCACCTCGCACACGCCTGGCGAGCACCAGATCTGCCTCCACTCCAACTCCACCCGCATGGCGCTCTTCGCCGGTGGCAAGCTGGTAACTCCCGGGGGGGGGGGCTTGGAACCCGGATAGCTGGGTTCTATCCGGGCCGGGCAGGGTGGAGCTGGGAGCCTGGACTCCTGGGCTTTTTTCTGTCTCTGGAGTGGGGGTCTGTGGATAGAACAGGGGATGGGAGCCAGGATGCTGGACTCTCTCCTGGCTCTGGGAGGAGAGTAGGTTCTAGCTGTTTGAGCGTGTGGGGCTGGGGGGCCTGAACTCTCTCCCTAACTGGTGGGGTATCAGAGCCCAGATGCCTGGTTGAGTTCTGAGCTCTGGGAATGAAGCAATTCATCTCTGGAGGGGGCAGCCCGTTAGGACTCCTGGGTTCACTCCCCAGGGCCAGCCCGCCAGCCCCTTCTGTGCCTCATTTGCCTCAGAAACAGAGGCATCTGGGCTATGTACAGCTCCCCCCACTCATGGCTGAACAGATGGGCCTTGGAGGTGGCTGTGACTGGCTCATTGGCTGTCCCCCCACCCCCTTAATCCCCTGCGTCTCTCACCCTCCCCCCCCCTGCAGCGAGTGCACCTGGACATCCAGGTAGGGGAGCACACCAACAACTACCCTGAGATTGCTGCCAAGGACAAGCTAACAGAGTTGCAGCTTCGCGCCCGCCAGCTCCTTGACCAGGTTGAGCAGATCCAAAAGGAGCAGAACTACCAGCGGGTACGAGCAGAGGGCCCAGAATAGGGTGGGGAGGGTGGGGGCGTCCCTGCCTGAAGGAAAGGGGGCATCTCTGTCTTCATCCTCAATGGGAGGGGGGGGTGTACAGGGAGCACCCAATAGGAGGGGGTACAAGGAGCACTGGGGTGGCATTGGGAATGCTGGGGAAGGTACTAGGAGCACCAGGGAGGTACTGGGGGTACTAGGAACTCTGAGGGGTACTGGGGGTGTTATTGGGAGCCCTAGGCAAGGCACTGGTGGGGACACTGGGATCACTATGGCTACATGTTTTTTTTGAGGTGGTGGTGGGGCAGTTATCAAAGCTGCAACTGGCATCAGAGGGGCACAAGCTGGGGCAGTGCCAGGGGGCACCTGGGAGGCTGCGGGAGGTGGTTTTAGTCCTGGTCTGACCATCCTTTGTGATTTTTTTTTCCCCACCCGCCTCCCCCAGTACCGCGAAGAGAGGTTCCGGATGACTAGCGAGAGCACCAACCAGCGGGTGCTCTGGTGGTCCATTGCCCAGACCATCATCCTCATCCTCACTGGTGTCTGGCAGATGCGGCATCTGAAGAGCTTCTTTGAGGCCAAGAAGCTGGTTTAAATGCCCTCGCCCACCCCCCATTCCCCTTTCTCCTCTCCCCCCACTGTCTTCCTATCTCCTTTACCCCTGAGTTCAGTCTAGCACTGATTTGCCATGAGAATAGCAGGCTTCTCTGCCTGGCAGGGAGCTGGGGGGCACTGTCAGGATGCAGGCACTGGAGGGGAGGGGTACTGGGGGCCAAGGGGGGAGGGACTAGGACCCCTGGGGGTACTGGGAGCCCTGGGGAGCTCTTATCAAGCAGGAGGCAGGGGCTGCTTTGTGCCCCCACGGTGCCTTTAGCAGTGCCTGGCAGGTGGCCTGCTCTCTTAAGCGAGGCACAGCCAGGGGGTGGGGAGGGTGGGGATTGGCATGAGGGCATCTGCCCAGTGCCAGCGCACAACAGAGGGTAGAAGAGGAAGCCATCAGACCACTTAACCTAGCTTCCCCTCACCCGCAACGCATCACGAGTGTCCCAGACTCCCTGCCCTCTCTTCTGTGCCCAGCCACAGTCGCTGTCATGGGTTTTGAAAAGAGGCATTTTTGTTATGATTGTTTTATGGAGCGCAATAAAACACCCGTTCCAGTACCCAGCAGCTGGCTGGTGATTTGGGGGCTATGAAGCCTGTGCCCACAAGAGGCTGGAGGTGGAGGGCTCTGCAGGCAGCACCAGGCAGGGTCAGTACACAGCTCCTTTGCACAGAAGGGGCACTGCTTCTTGAACTGGGGGAACTGGCTTTAAGCTGAGCATAGTGCCTGTGTATTTGGGAGTTGGGGTATGCCTTGCTGTGTGCCAGGGCTGGGTCGGGGGAGGGGGGAAGGGGGCGGCAGCAGGCACTGAGTAAATAGAAGGGCTCTTTTGCCCTAGGGAGGTGGGTCCATCGATGACCCCAGGGCAGATGTGACGTTGCCTGTGGGTCAGCAAGGGACCCCCATGTTTGGACACCTGGTATCTATCCAGCTGCTGGGGGAGTAGGAACTTGGATGCCCGGATTTTTTTGGTGGGGAGGGGGCAAGGGCTCGGACACCTGGGTTCCTCGAGGCAAAGCTGGAATGCAACCCAGGTGTCCTGGCTGCCCTGACTGGCCCGGGAACCCAGGAATCCTGGACCTGGTGCCACCTCCGCAAAGCCTCAGGGCTCCAGCTATAAGGCCCCTCCGTGCCTAGTGCGGTACGAAGCTGGGGCGGTCCTCCAGCCGAGGAGCAGTACGGAGGAGAAGCTACGCTCTAGCCCAGGGGCTTTGTCTCGTTGGTGCGCACTGAGACCATCTGCCCACCCCAAGCTGGTCGGCGCATGCACGAGCTACCGCCTAGTGCGCCCCCGTCCGGGTTCCGGAAGTGCATGGGCGCATGCGCACCAGGCTTGACAGACGCTAGCGGCGAGCATGGCGGCGCCCAGCCCGAGTTTTGCGCACATGGGGTTGGACCCGCGTCTGCTGCAGGTGGGGTTCGGACGCCTGGGTCCTATCCAGGAGGGGAGAGTGGGGGGTGGCTGGGAGCTCGGACGCTGGGCTCTCCTCCCCGCTCTGGGCGGGGAGGTTGGTGGGTTTTAGAGCAGGGGCTGGGCCCGGACGCTTTAGGTCTGTGGGAGCGCGGGGGCAGGGGGAGCCCGTGGGAGCGGAGGGAGCCCGACGCCTGGGTCCCTCCCGCAGGCCATCGCGGAGCTGGGCTGGGCCAGGCCCACGCTGATCCAGGACAAGGCCATTCCCCTGGCCCTGGAGGGCAAGGATCTTCTGGCGCGTGCCCGCACCGGTTCAGGCAAGACGGCTGCCTACGCCATCCCCCTCATCCAACGCCTGCTGCAACTCAAGCAGGTACCCTCGGGGTCTGGGAAGGGGTGGGCCTGCTCTATGCCCTGCCCTCACTGGCCTGGGGTGGAGCCAGCCTCCCTTAGGCCTTTACTTGGGCAGGGCCTGGCCTTGGAGCTCTGTGGGGGCAGGAATGGGGTCCTGACCCCTTCCTATTGCCCTGACAGGGCCCAGCAGTGCAGGAGCAGGCAGTGCGGGCCCTGGTGCTGGTGCCCACCAAGGAGCTGGGCCGGCAGGCGACTACCATGCTGCGGGACCTGGCCGCCTACTGCACCCGCCATGTCCGCATTGCTGATCTCTCCGCCCCTACTGAGCCAGCGGCGCAGAGGTTAGTGGCTGCCATGAAGGAGCTGGGCCATGTTAATCCCCATCCTCTTGGTTTGCATGTAGTAGGGTGGGGGCCTGGCCTGCGTGGACATCCCTGAGAGGTGGAGTCTTCTCTGTGCTCTTCCCCCTGTGTCTGCATATTGGACCCACCCCTACAGGTGACATCGTAGGCCCCACCCCCCACAGGTGACATGTTTTCCCTTCATCTGCATAGGGGATCTCCTAGACTCCTCTCCTCATTTGCATGCATCCGCTTACAGGGTGGGGCTACCCCTCAGTTCTTTTCTATTCGTCTGCATATAAGACACCCCCCCACCCCGTGAGATCACCTACGTATTGCCCTCATTTGTATGGGGGATTCTTGAATGCTTCTCCTAGTGTTTTGTATAGACAGTCCTGAGGGGTGGGGCCTTTCTGTGCATCTCCTTCTTATCTACACACCAGGCCCCACATGGCTGACATCACCTGTATATTCTCCTCCTTTAATGAGGGGGGCCCTTTAGGGCCTGGGGCAACCCATAAACCCAGACCTGACCTCTCATTTGCATTGGTGACCCTGAGACTTGGGCCACCCCTGTGCTTCTTGTCATTCACTTGCATGTTAGGTCCGCACATGGGTTAGGTCACCTGTGTACTCTTTTATTTGCATAGAGGGGGTCTCAGAGGTGGGGCTGACTTTCTGTTTCTCCTCTCATTTGCACATGAAGCATTTAGGGGGTGGGGCTGCGTATATGCTTCTCCCCCTACATTAGCACAGATTTCCCTGGGTCTCTTTTGCTTTTCTTCCTTATTTGCATAGGATGTCTCTCCCACTCACCACCTGCCCTCCCCCAGTCCCTTGGATTCTTTCAGACTCTCTTGCCCTGCTCCCTCCTTTATTTTCTTCTCCTGTAGCAGCAACCCTGGCACCCAGAGCCAGGATGCGTGGATTCTCCTCCTGTAGCTGCAAGCAGCACTTAGGGAGGGGGTGTGGATTCCAGCCTCATGCCTGTTCTGCCTCGCTGTACCTTAGGCCCCTGCTGATGGAGAAGCCGGACGTGGTGGTGGGGACCCCTGGACGGGTGCTGGCCCATGTGTTAAGCCATGGACTGAGCCTCCGTAATTCACTGGAGCTGTTGGTGCTGGATGAGGCTGACCTGCTGCTCTCCTTTGGCTTTGAGGATGACCTCAAGAGCCTGCTGTGGTAAGGGTGGCCTAGGAGGAGGGGTGCTGGCAGTACTGGTGGAGTCTCTCAGGGGTGGAACTGGGGAGGGGCGGGGGGCGGCTACTGGGAGTATTTACAGGCACTGGGAGGGTACTGAAAGTACTAGGTTATAGGTTAGTGCTGGGGAGGGCACAGGATACTGGGAGGGTACTGGGGGGAATGGGGGTGCTGGGGGTACTGGGGGGCATATTGAGAGCCCTGGATGGGCATGAGGGGCTCTGGGATGATACTGGGGGCACTGAAGGGCACTGAGAAGATACAGAGGGGCTGCTGGGGGAGCACAGGGTGGGTACTGGGGGTGTTGGGAGGATTTTGCGGGGTACTGGAAGCCCTGATGGGATACTAGCGGCATAGGGAAAATCCTGGGGGGTGCTGGGAGCCATGGGGGCACTTGAGCTGGGCTGACCCTGGCACCCCACCCTTGCTCCCTCCCTCCACCCTGCAGCCACCTACCACGGATCCACCAGAGCTTCCTCATGTCGGCCACTTTCAGCCCTGACGTAGAGGCGCTCAAGGAGCTGGTGCTGCACAACCCGGTGTGTCATGGTGGGAGGAGGCTGGGGAGTTGGGACATGGGGTTAAGTGGGAGTGGGGGGTGGTTGGTGGCTGCTGGCTGGGGGAGACTTGGGGCTGGTCACAGCCGGAGGGGGCTAAGGCATGAGCAGGATTGTCTTTCCCCTGCCCCTTGCTGTGCCTCAGTTTGCCATCACATAACTGGAATTGCAGCACTTAGAGCCAGGATGCCTGGGTTTGTTCCCTGCTTGCTTGCCACCCCTACCTCCCCACCTTTGCCATTCCTCAGTTTTTTCCCAGCTTAGTGCTGACCCAGGCTGTGTTATGTGGGGGGGGCAGGTGACACTGCGGCTGCAAGAGGCGCAGCTGCCAGGGCCGGCCCAGTTGCAGCAGTGGCGCTTGGAACTGGGGACAGAGGAGGACAAGTGCCTGGTGCTGTACGCGCTGCTCAAGCTGGGGCTGCTACGTGGCCGTGCTCTGCTCTTCGCTGGTGCCCTGGAGCGCAGTTACCGCCTCCGCCTCTTCCTCGAGCAGCTCGGCCTGCCTGCTGGCCTGCTCAACGCCCAGCTGCCCGCCCGCTCCAGGTATTTCCCTGGCGGGGCTGGAGTTGAGGGTCACCTGAGGGGGAAGGGTCTGGTGGGATCGAGAGCAGGTGAGAGGATCTGGAGTGGGATGTGGTGCTCTGGGGTGGGGTCCATGTCTAAAGCAGAGCAAAGGGATCTGAAGGGGGTGGGGGGAATCGAGAATGGGGGAACTTAGATCCTTCTCTTCTGCTCTGATGTGAGTGGATCTAGAGTGCGGGGTTTTAGAGCGGGGGATCTAGAACAGTGGTGGGGATTTAGAATGGAGAAGGATCTGGAGGACCTAGAGTGGGGAAGAGGTCTGGGGGAAATCTATTGCGGTGGTGGAGATGGGAATCTAAGATAGTGGGGATCTAGAGTTGGGGAAGGGGGTCCAGAGTGGGAGAGCTTGAGCAGGGCAGGGGCTGTAGTGTGGGGAGGAGTCTGGGGATCTAGAGCAGGGGAAGGCTCTGGGAACCTGGAGCAGATGGATCTAAAGCAGGGGATGGGATCTAGGCTGTTACTGTTCTAGAGCAAGTGAGGGTGGGGGGTCGTAGGGGATCTAGAATGGGATGATGTGGGGGGGGGATCTAAAGCAAGGGGTGGGGTCTGGGGGAGCATGGGGCAGGGGGTATTGAGATCCACCCCTCCCACCCCCCACAGGTGCCATATCCTCAGCCAGTTCAACCAAGGCTTCTACGACTACCTTATCGCCACTGATGAGCTGGACATGGTGGAGAGCCAGGCCCAGGCCCGGACCCGCAGGAAAGCCCGCAAGGGCCCCAAGGTTGACAAGTGAGTCCTGGGAGAGTTGGGGTCTGTTTGGGGAGGGGGTTCCTCCTTGGCAGGTTCCCCACTTCTCCTGACCCCTCCTTCCCTCCCACAGAGGCCAGGACCCTGAGTTTGGCGTCTCGAGGGGCATAGACTTCCAGGACGTGGCAGCTGTCATCAACTTTGATGTGCCCCCCACCCTCGAAGCCTACGTCCACCGGGCTGGCAGGTATGGGGTAGGGTCAGAATATGTGCAGTGGGGCTGGAAGGGCTGAGATGGGGGAGAGATCCTATCGCCATGGGCACAGGGGCCCAGCCCAGCCTGGAGACTTTCTGCATTAATAGTTAATTAAATAATGAATTCACCCAAAATCTTTCTATTTCCTCCCAAAAGTCCATTAGCAGCTTCTGCTGATTGGCTGTGGATGTCTGTCTGGGTCTTTCTGTTCCTGGAATCACCCTGATGTATAGTTAACAGCACCTAACAAGTCGTTATTGTTCTGGCACCCTGCAGAGATTGGGGGGGGTGGTAATTGCCAGACCCTAGTGAATAACTGGGAGACAGGACAGGTGCCCCCGGCTTTGTTGCCCCCCTCTCTGGGGCAGTTGGAGCCTGCTCTGATTCCTGCCCCCTGTGACACCCTCCCAACCCAGGACGGCCCGTGCTGACAACCCCGGGACAGTCTTGACCTTTGTGCTGCCATCAGAGTGCCCGCAGCTGGATGCCATCGAGGAGGTGCTGGGGGCAGGTGGGTGCATGAGTGGAGGGTGAGAGGATCTTGGGGTGACATAGGGGCTCTGGATGGAGGTCACATCAGGGCCCTGGGGCCTGTCCCAAACCAGTTTCTCAGCTGCCCCATCAGTTTGGGGGCTCCTGGGTGGGGATCTAGGTGGTCTTAGGGGTGACACAAGGGCTTGGGGCAGGGAGGGTTACACAGCTCAGACTGGGCCCAATGCCCTGATCTATCTGCTGGCAGGGGGGGAATCTGGAGGGTTGTGGGGACTGGCATTGAATAGGGAGTTCAGGGGGGTATCATAAGGGGTGGGGGGGTCACAGCTTTGGGACAGGCTACAGCACCCTGATCTCTCACCTTAGAGGTGGGGGGGCTGGGCTTGGGGTTACTCTAAGCTGGGTTCTGAGGGGTCTAGGACCCCTCTTACCCACTCCCCTTCTCCATTTCTCCCCCCAGATAATGCTGAAGCTGCCATCCAGCCCTACCAGTTCCACATGGAAGAGATTGAGGGGTTGCGTTACCGCTGCCGAGTAGGTGTTGTGGGGGCAGTGTCAGGGGTTTGGGGGAGAATATGCTAGGGCTTAGGGGCCTGGGGAGTGGGAAGGGCAAAGCCAGGGCCTGGGGGTTGCTTGGTTGGTTGAGTGGGGTTGAGGGTGGGTGTGGGTGAGGGGCAGGGCTAGGGTCCCCCATTGTTATAAGGCTGGGGGTGGGGTCCAGAAGCTGTGTGGGGGGAGCTCTGACCCCATCCTGCATCTCTTCCCCAGGATGCCATGCGGTCAGTGACCAAACAGGCTATCAAGGAGGCACGGTTGCGGGACATCAAGGATGAGCTGCTCAACTCGGAGAAGCTTAAGGTAGCTCGGGGGACTGCTGCCCATGCCAGCGTTAACTTCTGTGCCCAGGAGCACCCCCTGCCCAGGGAGGGGTCCCCCAAGCTATGCCTGGCCTGGGTGGGGGTCCTAACAGGCTGCATCCCTTCCCCGCTTCTCTACCCACAGACATACTTTGAGGACAACCCCCGGGACTTGCATTTGTTGCGGCATGATCGGCCCCTGCACCCTGCCATCATCAAGCCCCACCTCCGCCATGTGCCTGACTACCTGGGTATGTGCCCCTGCCATGTGGCTGCTTCTGGGTGGAGCCTGGGTAGAGGGCTGGTTATATCGGGGCCCCTTGGGATACAGCCATCTGGGCTCGAGTGTGGTGGGGGACGCTGCTTAATACAGGGATGCCATATCCGGTGCTGAGATGCGACCACCTCTGGGATAGGACATGTTGAGGGCTGTTTATAAAGGGACTTGTGCACTGAGATGCAGCCACTTCTGTGGTGGAACATGTCGCGGGCTGGTTATATCAGGACCCCTGGAGAAAGAGCTGGGCTGGGGTCTGTCTGGTGTGCTGCTTGACACAGATGCCTTATCTGGTGCTGAGATGTGACCACCTCGGGTGGAGATCAGTTAGCCAGGGCCCCCAGGGTGGGAGCTAGGAGGCAGCCCTGCCTGAGGGGCTGGTGGGCCCCCATAGTGCCCCCCAGCCTACGAAGCGTTGCCCGGCCCCATCTCAGCAAGCGCAAGCGTCAGCGCCACAAGCCTCCAGCCCACAACAGAGCTGGCTTCCAGGTGAGCATCCCCTCCTAACTCCCTGGAGACCTGGACCCCCACATGCCTTGGGGATCCCCAAGGGGGTGGGGTTGGTGATGGCTATACTTATTACCTGTTACCTGGCTAGGGAGATGTAGCCACTTCTGGGGTGGAGCGTTTTGTGGGCTTAATTGTACAAGGCTGGTGCTGAGATGTGACTGCCTCCCCTCTACCCAGTCCCGGGGGACCCGTAACCCTCTCCGGAGCTTTCGCTACCTGGGCAGGAAACCCCGGCGCTTGGCCAAGAAGGAAGAGGAGACGGTGGCCTGACCCATTGGGCTTGACTGGATGGACTCGGAAAGAGGCAGACCAGCAGTGGGGCAGGGGGTTTCTGAATAACCAGACAGAACCTTTCCCCTTTTGGCAGCAAAACTCCAGAGACTGAAGCTAAAAAGCCCTGGATAGGGACTATACCCCCACCCAGGAACTACCCTGGGGTGTGCCTGGGTGTGGGGGGCTAGCCTGGTCAATTTCATGTCAGTTTCAGGCCCCCTGGCTGAAATGGACCAGTCCAGCTGGGCACAATAATAACCCCTTACCCACCAGCTCCCTGGTATTATCCTCTCGCCTGGTTCCTGCAGGTATTCTTTAATTAAGCTAGATTGAGTGGGTCATTGAGGTCCTCTAAGGGGCAAAAGGTGGCATGGGTTGTGGCCCTCCCCAGTGTGGATGGCTAACCCTAGGCTGTGAGCTCTGGGTGCCAAGAGGGTACCATGGCACGAGCACTCCAAGAAGCAAGGTCCTTAATAACCCAGCCTCTTAATTACCCTCTTAATTACCTTAATTAAGGTACCAATAGGTTACTACCATATTTATTGGTGTATCCATGTGCTTTTTCCCCAGGCATTAGCAATTGTGTGATCTGACATAATTTCTGGTGTATCCCTTTCCCCTTCTCATTAGCAAAGGGGAATTGTGGGGAGGGGTTAGTGTTGCTAGGGTCAGATGGGGGAGGTTTAAGGTTGTTGGGAACAGCATGGTGGTAGGGTTAGTGTTGCTAGGGCCAGAAGGGGGTGGGCTTAGGGTGGTTGTGATGTTATGGGTTGGGGAGTGAAGTTCAGGATGCTAGGGTGAGCTGTGGTCAGGGTTGCCCTTTCTAAGAGGTGAAGCTAAGACTCCTGGCCTACCTCTCAATCCCTTCTCAGTTTTCCTCGCTGCCCCTTGGCCCAGCTACAGCCGCCTGGGGCCGGGTGCAAGGCATTGCACGTGGCTGCAGCTCCCCAGGCCCAGCAGGGGCAAAGGCAGTTGGAGTGTGGGGCAGGCAGGTGTCCTTAGGGCTTATCTTTCTGGCTCCCCCTATCAGCGCCTTATCGGGGCCTTGGGAGGTGCCTCAAGGCCATGACCGGGCCCTAAACCCTGCCCGGGAGATAGCAGCAGAGCACCCAGGCATCACGCAACTGGGGAGGTGGGAGTGCAGAGGGGTCATAGAATTGCCTGGGCCTCAGGGGTAGTCGCACATAGCACCCCAGGCCCCATCACTACAGCCGCACGGCACCTGTAGCCCTTCTGCATGCCTCCTCTCCCTGCTCTGCACAACGCTTACAGGTCTGCTGTTGCTTCAGCCAGTAGCTCCATTGCAATGCATACACTCCATGCTTCCCTGGTATAGCTACAGCCGCATGCCACTCTTATTCTGTAGCTACAGCTCTAGGTCTAACACCCAGCCACATGCAAGACTAGCCCGAGCCATGGTTGCTCGGTGCCTCTGGCTACAGCTGCCTGCCACCCCCTGGCTGCAGCCACGTGCTCTGTCGCTAACTACACGCAGTAACTTGTGGTTGTATATGGCACCATCTCCAATCCCTACAGTTCCACACCTGACCCTCAGCTACTTGCAACACCCGCACACCCCATCTCCTGTTCCTACAACCATGCACCTGCCCCCAGTTGCCTGCAACCCCATATCCTATATATTCCTACAACCACACACATACCCCCCAGCTATACACAACAGCTTTACACCCTTGTCTCCTATCCCTATAGCCATGCACCTGACCCCAGCTACACAACAGCCAACTATCCCTACAACGGTACACCTGCCCCCAGCTGCACAGCAACTCTACACCCTATCTCCTAATCCTGCTGCCATACACCTCCCCCCAGCTACATGCAACCCTATACCCCCATTTCATCACTACAGGCACTCGCTTGACCCCAGCTACACACAACAGCCCCACACTCGTATCTCGTATCCCTACAACCACACACCTGACACCCCAGCTACACACAACGGCCCCGTATCCCCATCTGTCACTAGAGCCAAGCGCCTACTCCCCAGCTTCAGCTTCCCACCCATCCTGCACAAACCCCATAACACTGCCACAGCCCATAGCTCACCTGCCCTATGGGTACCTGCTGTGCCTACCCTATGCCCTCGCCAAGTATGCCACCCAGTGACCTTGGGGCTCCCTGGAGCAAGGCCAGGCCCAAGTGCCTCCTTGAACCCTTCTGCAATTGTCCTTATCGGTGCCGACGTGCCAGGCAATGTGCCAGTGCCAGGGCGGGGGGCACCAACGCACATGGCCTTGCCCAGGGTGGCATGGGTGTTACCTTGCCTGGCTCCTTCCTGCCTGAGAAGAGGAATAAAGGTGACTCTGCTTTGCATATATTCGGATAAATTGTAATGTATTTGCATACATTATAATAAACACCACTCTTGATGCATTTTTTGTATGTATTGCATTGTTCCTTTGCAAGAAGTATAACAGTGGAGCCTAATTCAAATGCCTTATGTTTGCATATAATTAGAATAAAACTCTGATGCATGAGCATGTTTTGTGTCCTTTAGATTAATCCTTTCCAAGATGAAGCAGGAAGATGACTGTATTTTGCATATATTTGAATACATTATAGATTGCATACAACTAGGATAGATGCTGCTGTATCACCAGGTTTCCCATCAATTAGATCATTCCTTTCCAAGAAGCATAGGGGCTCTTTTACATATTTTCAAATGTATTATAATATTTGCATACATTAGAATAAACACCACTGTAGCTGTATTTTCCATCTATTAGACATTCCTTTCTGACCAGCATAAGTGATTATTTGAATATATTCAAATATTACGATATATTTTGCATACATTTGGATAAACACTGCTGTGTTTTTGCATTTTAGAAAAGCATAAAGGTGAATATATTTTGTATATATTTAAATTCCTTATTATTATTTGCAGATATTAGGATATATTGCTGCATTGGCATGTGTTTTGCATGTCTTCACTCATTCCCGGAAGAAGTGTAAATGGGAATTTCTATTCAAGTATACTATGAATATTTGCATTAATTAGCCGAATTGAAGCTGCATTGGTGTTTGTTTTGTGTGTATTAGAATAATTTAGAAGAAGCAAGGAATACAGCGCTGGGTGGGGGGCAAGGAAAGGGGTGTGACTCAGCGCTCCCAGGCAAATACATGCAAATGTTGAGTGGGTGATTAATTCTGAATATGCGTGGATAAATATGCTCAGGACCTTCTGTCTGCACCAAGCATGTTCAGTATGATCCTCCTTGCCCCCTTTTGGCTGGGGTAGGCCATACACTGAGCATGCTCTAGCCTCAGGGCTGCAGGGGTTGAGCTCTATCCACTGTGCTGCCCTGGGGCTGGAAGAGATTCCTGATCTGGACCCCTGACCCCAGATCAGGAAGGCTTCAGCCTTGGTAGGGGGGTGAAGCCCCGGTTTCCCCTTCAGGTGCTTGGCACTGCCCACATGTGGCATGGTAGAAAGAGGAACGGAGGCGTTTTTGCCTCCCCTGGGGTGGGGGCAGGGGCTGTCCTGGTTCCCGTGGGCGGATGGGTTAATGATTCCTGGGATTTATGTGCCCAGCTGCTGCCTGATTGGCTCCAGGGCATCAGGCCAAATTCGCTAATAGAAGAGGACAGCCCCATTAATGAGAAGTCTTACAGGTGCCTGGCCCTCTTCCGCCCACCTGCCTGCCAGGATGCCTGGGTCCCTTCTGGCCCTGGCACTGGTCTGTGCCTCCTTGGAACTGGTAAGTTCTGGCAGCTTGTGGGGAGAGGGACACCTGGGGTCAGAGGTCAGGGCATATGGCAGAGGCTGGTCTATTAAGGGTAGGCAGATTCAGAGGTGGGGGGGAGGGGTGAAGGACCAGAGGTCAGGTTATGGGGATCCGGAGTGGTTGGTGCTGGGTTCAGGGGGTTGTGCAGGAGTGGCTGGGCTCGCAGTGGGAAGCTAAGGAAGTATGGGCTGGATGAATGGAGTGTAAGGTGGACAGAAAACTGGCTGGAGCATTGGGCTCAGAGAGTAGTAATCAATGGCTCAATGTCTAGTTGGCAACCCATATCAAGTGCAGTGCCCCAGGGCTCCGTCCTGGTGCTGGTTTTGTTCAGTGTCTTCACCAAGGACCTGAAAGATGGCATAGGGTGCAGCCTCAGCAAGTTTGCAGATGACACCAAGCTGGGGGGTGTAGTAGTTATGCCGGAGTGTAGTGCTAGGATTCAGAGTGACAGACAAATTGGAGAATTGGGTCAAAAGATATCTCATGAGGTTCAATAAGGACAAGTGCAAAGTCCTGCACTTAGGACGGAACAATCCCATGCACCAATACAGGCTGGGGGCTGACTGGCTGGGCAGCAGCTCTGCAAAAAAAGACGGGGTTACAGTGGATAATAAGCTGAATAGGAGCTAGCAGTGTGCCCTTGTTGCCAAGAAGGCTAGCAGCATCCTGGGCTGCATTGGTAGGAGTTGCCAATAGGTTAAGGGAAGTAATTATTCCCCTCTATCGATCACTGGTGAGGCCATATCTGGAGTACTGTGGGCCACGTACTGAGGTTTGGGCACCCCATACAAAAAGGATGTGGACAAATCGGAGAGAGTCCAACAGAGAGCAACAAAAATGGTGAGGGGGCTGGAGGACTTAACTTATGAGGAAAGACTGAGGGATCTGGGCTTATTAGTCTAGAGAAGAGGAGACTCAGAGGGGGATTTAACAGCAGCCTTTAACTACCTGAAGAGGGGTTTGAAAGAGGATGGAGCTGGGCTGCTCTTGGTGGTGGCAAATGACAGAACAAGGCACAATGGTCTCAAGTTGCAGCAAGGGAAGGTTAGGCTAGATACTAGGAAGAATGTTCTCACTAGGAGGGTAGTGAAACTGGAGCAGGTTACCCAGAGAGGTGGTGGAAAGTCCATCTTTGGAGGCTTTCAAAACGTGGCTAGACAAAGCTTTGGCTGGGATGATTTAGTTAGGGACAGTCCTGCTTGGAGCAGGGGGTTGGATTAGATGACCTCCTGAGGTCCCTTCCAACCCTAATTCTCTGATTCTATGGGAGGGGTGGGGGTCAGAGGTCAGGTCATCT